GGGGGTGTGATAAGCGCTGAAAAATGCGCATTTAAACCCCTTAAGCTTAGGTATTCTAGGACCTTTATCTATCTTACTTTCCCGTTTTAGACTAATTTCGTGTTATTACCCTTTTTAGGTGCTTATCCCCAAAATAAGCTAATTCAGCCAAATAAGAGCTTAAAAGAAGCTAACTCAAGCTGGATGGAAGAAAGGAGCAAAGTGGAAGCAGATTGAAGCAAAGTATGGAATTCAGCAGGTTCGATCGATCTCAGAATATATTCAATCGATCGAAAGTTCATTGATCTAAGCAGTTCAAGACGGATCTGAGCTTTTTTCCTTACCCATAAGATTCCACAAAGTTCGATCGATCTCAACAACTATTCGATCGATCGAAGTGCTTGATCTTATCCGCATGTACTACTCCAACTGCCACTTTTGTCTTTTTCCCAAAAATATCTCAAAATATCTCAGAGATTTATCCTTATTCAAAAAGGCACCGCCATAGATGATCGATCTCTGCAATATTCGATGGATCTCAGCCATGTTCGATCGATCTCACCATAGTTCGATCGATTGAACTTCCTCAAGCCCGAAAAAAAGACAAAATCCAGCTCATTAAAGGTTGGCTCATGGTGCAATCATTGGAGGAATATTGATGTGTAAGCCCAGACTATTGGGTGTGACATTTTAACCTACCTATATAAGGAATATGAGCCACTTTTACACATATGCTTAGATACATGCTTTTGGGGTAGATAGTTTTTAGAGACAATTCTTAGAGAAGAAGGAAAGAGAAAAGGAGGCTAGAGACATTCTTAAGAGGTTTTCCATCTTCCTCAAAAAGAAGAGCATTTCTATCATGGAGATAGCCCTTGAGGGTTGGAGGACACCATCCATAAGTGGCTAGACATTCTCTTGGGGCTAGAGTTAGCCCTAAGCATGCTTTCTTTATCTTGATTCATGTATTTTTGAGGGGATTTGTGGTGTAATACATGTTTTGACATATTTATATACATAGATTTTGTTTATTCAATGATTTGTATGGTTTAATTCTTCCAAGTGACCATTTCATTCTATCCATATGTCTATGTATGCTAAAATAGATGTGCATGTGTTTATCTCTATTTCTTGTGTTGTTGATACATGTCTATGTGTATTAATGCTATAGATTTAGAAATTGTCTAGACATAGTGCTTAATAGAATGCACTTGTGGTTTATTTGATGGTTCATACTCATTACTTGATGGATTGTGCCTTTCTCTTAGTTTAATTTTCATGCTATTAGCTTAGATGTAGTGTAGTTACCTTAGTTGTTAAATGTGAGGACAATCCATGCTTGTTATTTGATGTTCCATACTTATGAATGCAAGTAGTATATTTCCTTAATTTTGTGATGTGTTTGGATTGTGAGCTTAAAGAAGGATTACTGGCTTACTTTGATATATTGTGCTATTCATTGTATTGTCTAGACAATATACACTTAATTGGTCATCCATGCTTGTTGAAACAACCACACACACTCACTATTGTTGCAACATATGCCTTCCCCTCATTAATTGTGAATTGAGTATAGTGAAAAGTGATGTTTAGTGGTGATCTCTAGGTTCCAAGATCTCTCTCTCTTGTTTTCTCTATCCTTTAATTACTTGCTTGATATTGATCTTGTTTAGTTTTAATTGTAGTTTAATCAACCAAACAACCTACCTTTGATCACTCGACCTACTAACCCTAAACCTTGTTTCCACTACTAGTGCACCCTCAATCCCTTGGGACGATCCCTACTCACCCTTGCTATATTTTTAGTTAGTGGTAGTAGTGGCATTTATAAATGTAAAACTTGGCCATACTATTTTTCACAAATTTGGTTGCACACTACGACGGACATACCAGAAACGGGCACTTTTTAATTTATATATATATATACACACACACACATATGTGAAGTGTATATGATTCAGAATTTCAGAGGAAGAAAGATTCATGCATATGAAAGGGAACCATGGGCAATACAGATAAAAGTCCGATATAGTGCATCAAATGTACTCTGAAGGAAGCCCCCAAGTTAAAAGAAGACTAATATAAACTATGGAGAAAACTACCAGATCGTGGGACACTTAACAGTACAGAGATAGGCCAAGTGGAAGCACTCAACGGCCGCCATCTTCAACTGATGCAGGAAGAACTCTATAAATAGATCATTTAGGCCGAAACATGCAAATCTTGTTCAACACACACAACAAATCAATACAACACTTTGCTTATCAATTCATATATCTTTTCATTCTTGTAATGAAGTTGCATTATGTTTAATTTAAGTCCAGCACTTTTCTTGATTACTTTCCAGGAAGTAGTTCCTAGTTTGTTTAATTTTAAGTCATGCACTCGTAATTTCGTTCTTCTTTCCATTTAGTTATATAAAACTCTTCTAGTCATTTTTCAAGGCAAAAACAACCTTTGAAGGTGGTCATTCCACTCCATTTTATAATTGCTTGATCTCACAATTTCCAACTGGAATACTGTTTGAAAAATCTTTGGAACGACAGAAGTTCCTAGCACGCCTGCACCTTTCCACTCACCTGGAAATGACTCATTTTTTACCAGCCAAACACCATTTAAAATAAAATAAAACTTTAAATGATAGAAAATTCCAAGGGGTTGGCCTAGTGGAAAAGACTTTGGTCCTGGAGCCTAATGAAGCTTTAGGTATCAAGTTCGATTCTTCTTAAGTGCGAGCAATTCTTTGGGGCTACAATCGCAGACATAGTCCGAGCCTTACCCGATCCGTATGGGGGTCGCATTGCTTGGGTCCCATGGATTAGTCAGGGCTTAGATTTAAAAATTTTATCACTTAATATTCAATTCTTAGACACAGCTTGGTTGAAGGGAAATGAAAGGAAAAAAAGAAAAAAAAGAGATATAGAGGGGAATGTTATATTATGTTTGGTATAAATCATTAATGTTGCGTTTGGTATATAAGAATGGAATGAAATGCAAATGTGAATTGAATGGAATGGAATGGTCATTCTCATTCTATTATTTGATTGTATATATGAAATTTGTAGGAATTGAATGATAATAATCATTCTAGTGTTTGGCTGGACCAATTTAAAATTTAAAATGGAATGAATTCAATTAACAAAATAACATTATTCCATATTTTTTAAAACAAATGGCGGGGACGGTGGATAGCAGTGACGATGGTAATGGAGGTGGAAAGCGATAGTGGTATAGGTAGCGGTGTTGGAAGGCGGCGGTTCTAGTGGTGGTGGCAGAATGTGGCAGTGGTGTTAAAGGAAAGCGGTGACGGTGGTAGTGGTGTGCTAGTGGTGGTGGGAGACTGTAGTAGTGTGGGTAGTGGTGGTGGTGGAAGGTAGTGGAGGTGACGATGGTTGTGGTGGTGGAAGGCAATGGAGGTGTTGGTGGAATGGGGTGGTGGTGGAAAGCGGTGGTGGTGGAAAGCAGTGGCGGTGGTGGAAGGCAATAGCGGTGGAAGGCTGTAGAAGCTAAGACAGTGTAATGATGGTAAAGAGGCGGCGATAGTGGTGGCGGTGGCATTGCCAGTGGAGGTTGAAGGTAGCAGTGTTCGAATGTGATGGTGGTGAAGACGGCGGCAATGGTGGCAGTAAATGGAAATTGTGGTGGCGGCAATAGCGGTGGTGGAAGGCAATGGAGATGGAAGTGGTAGTGGTGGAAGGCGGTGGCAATGGTGAAAGGTAGTGGAGGCGGTGACAGTGTGGTGGTTAATGGCGGCAACAATGGTGGTAGTGGCAGTGACGATGGTGGAAGGCAGTGGAGATGGATGTGGGGAAAGGCAACGGTGGTTGTGGTGGTCATGGTGGTGGAAGATAGTGATGGCGGTAATTTTTGAACTTGAAACATTAGGGTCTTTTGGTAATTTGATTTTTTTTATAAGAAATTACTTTAGAATGGATTCCATATATTTAGTTGTAAAATGAATTTTTATTCCTGTAAATGAATCCAATAGAATGGTCATTCCTATTTTAAATTAATACTGATTTTGTCCTTATTTTTTTTTATTTTTATAAAGGCCTTAGTGCACTCAAACCTTCTTAAGTTTTAAAAAGGGACAAAATACCTTCCCCCCCTTTTCTTTTTTAGCAACAAATACCCATTAATTTACAAACGGATGCAAATCACCCTTTTGATTGAAAAAATAACTAAGTTAGTTTAAAGGATTATATAAAAAAAATTAAAAATAAAAAATAAAAATAAAACACGGGGGGATTATTGAAGGGGCGATGCCGCGGAGGGAGGAGACAGTAATTCTCTCTCCCTCTTCTCTTTCCATTTTGCATTTCTTCTTCTTCTTTATTTATTTTTCATTTTTTCTCTAGATCCTCTCTTCCCATTTTGCATTTCACCTTCCTATTACTACCATTAAAGGCTTATACTTTTCTTCTTTACTGAATGCCAACTCGTGCCTTGCGTCAGACGTCTTACGTGTACTACATGAGTGTGTCAACATGAATGACTACTTCAAGATTCTCTCTCCCCAAGAATTCGTTTTTCAATAAAGTGACATATTTTCATTATATTTCCTATTTGATTCGCAGTTAGGATAGCAATGTAATATACGTATACAAATATCGATATAAATCGCATAATATGGGTTACAAACGGTGAATCATAATTTCAATTGTATTCATTCCTTAATAATGAAATTAAATTAGGCAAATTTCATTCAAACCAGCTTGCATATCGTTTTTTTTTTACACCAAATCATCAATAATTGGATGAAGAGTAAATGATAATAACACATCACTTGCCTCCTGGCGATCGGTCCAACCAACGCACGAATTTCTTGATTACTGAATGTTGTAGTAATTCGTGCTCCATGAAGTACTTGCTTAAGACTTCGTTGTAATTTCTTTACTTGCTGTTACTGATTAGCTTACTAGTTACTTTTATTTTTAACTAAGCTTTATGCGAACAAAAATAAAAATGCCATTATGTCTTCACCATTACTATTAGAGATGAACAAATTCCATACCCCATAATTTAAATCAAATAATTTCATTTCAGTTGTTTCATGGTACATCAAATTTTAAGTCCTTAGCTTATTCAAATGTAGTTGTAAGATAAAACTTATTGTTCTTTCTTTTATAATACCCTTTTCACAAAAAATCTCAAATGCAATGATCCATTACACACACATGAAATCGAAAACAAGCAAGCATTATGATCATTTTTCCTTCTTTTCTGCAGAAACAAACATTTCTTTGACAACTATGGCTAACGCGTGCAAAATTACTTACAATTTCAACCTCTGAACAATGAAGGATTCATTATATATCAGAACACTTCTGGTAAAGGCCTGCCCTGTAAGAATGACTTGAATAGCACCAGTGATCTCTCGGGTTGTGAGAATGGCGCTTCATGAGAAGCGCCTCTAATGGTGGCAAATGAGAGCATATTACCGAAAACATGAGTCCATCCACCAACCTGTACATACACAAAAAGAAATATATATATATATATATATATATATATATATATATATATATATATATATATATTTTTGTTATAAAAATGTTCAGGAATCATCTCTTAAAATGGAGGCATTTTCTAACAGCATGTAAAATTTGATCTAACTGCACTATTCTGTTTGAACTTTGAAGCCGCTATCATATTTTGAGAGTAAATATCACAGATGATGAGTCAATTTCTTTTTATTACTTATTTTAAGTTATTAGACAAAACATCTGATTTCATGTTAACTATAGATTCACATTTTTTGTTCAATTTTAATTGGAGGCAAAGTTGACTTGTTTTTGGTGTTGCGAAAGAAGAGATGAAGCTAAAGACACTGTCAAAAGCCCGATAAGAAATGTGGAAAAAGAAGCCTAAGTGGCTCCATGGAGTCAAAAACACGGAGCTTGGCAGACTAGTGAGAGCACATTTTAGATCTCACCTTCTCTTCTCAGTTTTTGAGCTCATTTCATACTCGATAAACTGTTATGTTGAAACCGAAAACAATGAAAGAGGAAAATTTAAAAGGAAAAAGATTAGCAACAATATGTTACGAAAATTTTACCTGCTGTCCCGCGAACCAGACTCTATATGGTACAGTTGTGTTGAGTCCCAATTCATTTGCCAATTCATGGACCAGCGTGCGGCTCCCAAGCAAAGGAATAACAGAATCCTGATCCCCACTGTTGTCAGGAATCTATAATTAGTCCGGAAAATAATAAAAAACAATGGAACTTCTGTTCATCATGTTAAGATCACAAAAACAAAGTCCGAGTTTGCATTTACCTATAAACCAAGACTGGGATTCCGGCATTGACAAGTGATCCGACAATAGAGATTGTAGGGATTTCCACATTGAGCACCTCATAATCCAAAATGCTGCGGTGAAAGAACCATTAATAACTTTTAAATATGTAGCTCTAAGCATAAAGAATGAATCATGGAAGTCATTTTCTCACAAAGTTTGTGTTTAAGTTGTTTGCCCTTTTTAGGAAGAAAAGAAAAGAGAGAAAAAAAGTTGTTTGGCCATTGAGAAACTAACCTAACACTTCACTTTGACATGTGATCTCCAGTATGTCATGTTAAAACTGGGTGTAAGTGTGAAACTTGTTTCCACCACTTTGGTCCAGGATGAAAACTAACACATTTATTGCTATTTGAAGCAAGAAAATCATTTTCATTATGCTGATAAGTTCTCTCGGAAATTATGTATGTATTAGTTTTGATTTTCCGTTAATGGCTGATTTTATATTGTATATCTAGCTCAGAAGGGAAAAGAAAAGGACGGACTTGCTGCAAACATCCCATCTGTGGACTCCAACAAGCCGGGCGTGGAGAGCCAGCTGCACATCTTTGCGGTTTAAATAGTTAACAGTTTCATCTTCCACACATACATCGATCCTCTCAGAAACTTGCTGCCAGGTGAAATATAGAATTAAAGTTAAAATCGAAACAAAACCTAGACATTTGATAAGTAGGATGCAAAGTTTAAATGGAAGGCAGTCTGCTTTCGATATAGGACTTACTTGGGGACTCATAATCTTGGATTGTGACAGCACCGATGGAATACAGACGTCGAGGGTAACATCATATTTGTCCACAAATCTACTGGTTTCTCTACTCACTTGGCTCATCACCCTCGAGCAAACAGGTGAAACTGAATCTCTATAGTACTCACTCACATACCGAGAATAATTACAGATGGAAGTGAACATTTTGTAAGTTGAATCTGATATTAGTCCATGGGACCAAAAGAACTCAGCCCTTGAATTGAAGTCGGTAGTGAATTCCAGAACAGGATTACCCAGCTGCAATGAAAGAAAAACTCACTTCAACGCAACAAATTTTCGAGTGCCAGAAGTTTAAAAGCGGAACAGTACAAAAAATGCAGCCTACCATAAAAGAGATCATTGCTGAACATAGATAATCAATTTTATGCAATTTAGTTGACACATAGAAGCAAAAATAAACCTCCCTCCAACAATCATTTAAAGTCTCATGTTAAAATTTATTCAAATGATTATTCGAAGTAAAATATGTGTTTCTAATTACTAAAAAATAGAACTTTATATGTAACACTTACAGCAATTCCTTTCAAATTGAACAATTTCTCCTTTTTGTTGAATTGAACTATGAGCTTTGCAAGTTGAGGTATATAATGACCTGGTATTAACAATCAAAAGAAAACAATAAAAACCATAATCACCTTTTGGCATGGAAAGTGAATATGCTGACACCTAATCTTACAACTCATAAAAAGATATATATATATATATATATATATATATATTGAACATTCATCTTTTGAAAATCTAGTAGTTGCATTGAAGTCTTCCATGAGGTAATAAATTTGAGATTCAAAGCCTTATTAACATCATGCTTTAAATTAAATTTTAAATGTGAGTTCAAAATTGGACCATTAATTAATTAATTTATGACATGAAAGTTATTGAATGTGACTATTCTTACACTAGATGTAAGCAAATCAAAACCCCAAGAAATTAATGTGTAAAATGATGGTACCTGCATAACTTTCTCCTGTTATGAACAAATCCCTTGTTCTGTATTGTGGGAATTTGAGGAACCATTGTTGCAAGAACATAAGATTGTCCCTGGCTTGAGAAATCAACAGTGAACACAAATTTAGAAAAGGCAAAAAAAATGCAATTTAGCATCCAAAAATCTCATCTTCTATAATGTCTTCTGAAATTTAGCATGAAGGTAATGAATCCATGAAGTTGAACTGGTATAGATATAGAGATCCCTCTAAATTTCCATAACATGAAAAATCTAAAAGAGGATATCAATTTATAATATATATATATTATATTTTTAAAAAAAAAAGAGAGAGAGAGAGAGAGAGAGAGGAACAAGTTAGAACTGATGGAACATACCAGTTATCTCATCATTGACTGCAATATAGTTGGAGGTATCAGATGAATAAGAGAAACCCACTCCTATTGGTGTCTCTAAATACAACATATTTGCCTCTGCAATATCATAGGAACATGTAAACATCAATTTTCAGTTTTTTTCTTTTTCTTTTTTATTTTTTTAAAACCAAATATACATATCCACAACAAAGACTTAAAAAATTACAAATGATTCCCCAATTTCTGATGTCAATACCTCTGTTCCAGCTGTACTCATTTCTAACCAGAACCTGTCCATTTGGTCTGAAAGGTCCATTTTCAGAGAATGCCCCCACTCCCAGAGAAGAACAACCAGGCCCTAAATTCAAAAACCAAACACATTAAGACTTCTTATGGCTACCCTTTCACATATAAACACCCACATTGGAAAATCACACAACACACACACACATATTTCTTATTTCAGTTGGACATAAAATCAAGCACAAAGAAGAGCAAAGTTGCAAACCTCCATTCAACCAAAGAACCAAAGGCTTTGAAAATGGATCTATCTCAGCCTCAACAAAGTAGTAAAACAGAGATCTCTGTTTCTTGTCATCTACAGTGACATAACCTGAAAATTGCTGAAACCCAACAAAGGGTTGTCCAGGCAACAGAGTGATCTTGTCAGTCAGACACAATGAGGACTCAACCTCCATCAAAAAACACACATGAAGCACTAACACAAACACAGCCATTGCCATGGCTTTACAAGTTAGTAGTGGACACATGAATGACTTCAGAAATGAGGAAGAAAAAAAACAAACAATTTAGCTGGCACAAAGCACTTGGATTGAAACTGTGCAAGAACTGATATATATTGTTGCTCAGTGGAGGACATGGGCTTATGGGTAGGTCACTATATATATATATATATAGCATGTGTTGTCTTTTATTATCATTATAGTGGTAACTTTTTGCTTGCAGGCCTGAAAATGGTGGAGTGAGTGAGATGTGTGAGAGAGATCAATATATTACTGTTGTTTATATCCTATAGGGTTGGGTGTGCTGATTCAGCATATGGGTTGGTATATGAAAGTGAAATCACACACACACAAAAACTGAATTCTTCTCAGAAATTACAGTCTTGTTGCTTTTGCGTTTGTTTATTTATTTATTTATTTTTGTTTTCCCAATACATTGAATACAAAGTGAAATACTATAAAGTAAAAAGGCATCATATAGTATGAAAGGTTGTTTTTTAGTTTGGACAATGTAAAGGGTTTGTTCTATAGAAAGTGACTTTACATGTTCACTTTTCACTGTGAGAAAATGTGTGAAAATGAGCAGTATAATAATACTGTCTCCAAAGAAAAATTATTTATTTTTTGATTTTCGAGAAAAAACATGCCAGTATGATAAGGGTCCTCCCTGGCAGGATCATATTGCAAATTCTTTTTGGTTGGGTTTCCAAAAAAATTGGCTTATTAGTTGTATCTTTGGTTGGTGTACAAGTACAAGCCAAATCCAGTTTTTCTAATTTTGTGGTGATATAATAAGTTCAAGATTGATTCCAATAGTTCTATTTTTTATGGCAGTGAAAATTGATTCTCAACTTAAAAAAAACAAAAACATGATCTAATCATTTTGGTTACAAATATTCAATGTTAAATTCAAAAACCCATTAACTAATATTTTATACTAATTTATGAGAATATCCAAGTTATAAACAATTTTTCTAAACATTTAGGTTCAGTTAGATTCACAATTAAAAGAAAACAATACAAAGGAAAATCATTTTCTCTTATTTGGTTGACATGAAAGAGCAAAAGGAGTAAAAAAAATATGAACATCATGAATATATATATATATATATATATATATACACGACATTTCCCTTTTCTTTTAATTGTTCCCAATCAGTTTTAAGAGTGTTTACTTTCTAATCTCATTTATGAAAAGAATATGAGAAAGACAACTTTTTCCTTTGTAATTTAGTATTTATAAACCAATAATTAATTTTTTTAAAATACTCTTAAAAATCTCACACATATATATATATTTATGAAGATGTGAATGTGCAGTAATTAATGAAAGAACAGTTGATTAGATTAGTGATTTTACAATTCTAGGAATGAAAATGATATGTGTGAAGATTCTGTTCAAATGACAAGAAACAAGGGTTCATAAAATCAGAATCAGATAAATAATCCAGAGGTGGATCACAGCATATACTCTCAAATCTTCTACTTGGTAGTTGATACACTTTCTTTATGTACTTATATGGGAATCAGATTTATTATCTTTGACCTATGTGAAAAAAAAGTGTTCCTATAATAATGAGACATCCACCATTATCTATTTATTTATTTTTTATTTTTTACTTTTTCACAGACACTCACAATCCTCATAATAGCTTCTAAGGGTCCCCTTCTCCTTCCTCCATATAAATAACAGAAGGCATCTCTAGAAAAGTTGCATATACTTTTCCTTTTTGTTTCCCACTTGCTTATCTGTCAATGGGTGTATGTGGAGACCATAAAAAGTACGGATAAAAATCATTTCAGGCGCAACAATACGTCTATCTTAGTCGATGATGATGATAAGTTGAGATATACGTTAGAAAAATGTTGTGATGTTTGCCTTATATTCTAACATTTTCTTAAGATACATCCCAACTTTTTCTTCATCGGCTGGGACAAATGCACTGTTGCACCGATAATTTAAGACTTAGAGAAATCACCTAAGATTACTCAACAAGAAAATTAATATTTGAGCCGATGAGTTAAGACTTAAAGCACTAGTTGAATGTTTTTGATATGCTTCAAGTAAGACCATATTTATTACGTTTTAGGTCTAAGTTATTGAGTATAGTAGCATTGTTATGCTCAAACCGTAAAAAATGTTTCTTATTTTTCTATTCTATGAGAGAATAGAAAACTATTCTCACAAGAGTATTAGGAATGAAGCATTTTGTGGTGATTGTTCGGCTACATAGTGAGCCAAACCTCTTTGTGCGGGACTCGCCGCATACCTGACTCTACAAGTGTATATTTTTAAGTATCGTAACATATAGTGAGACAGATAGCGAGATAATGGGCCTCACATGTTCACGTTTTATGTTTCTTTTTTGTATGTACACGCTTATGAAAGGATGAATAATAAACAGAGAGGCAATTTTAAAACCAAAAATATAATAATAATAAAAAGTGGCCAGCTGAACCAGCCGGTGTGCCAAGGGCCAAAATAAATAAATAAATAAATAATCCGATAATTGTGTGAAAAGTATTTTAGAGTTGGGAATAATTTGTTGGTGGGGGGAAGGCTATAACCTTGTGTTGGCTTCTGGACACTTCCATGGAAGCAAACAATCACTTTCTTTTATATTTAATTCTTTTTGTAATTCACAAATTTTTTTTTTTTTTTTTTTTTTCTGACTACATGGTTTCAAAGAGCCAAAAAGTCCATGAGCCTTCTTCAATTTTCTTATTGAAGTAGCTTTCTGTAATAATTACATTACATCATTTTCCATATTGAAGTAGGAGTGAGTGAGTAGCTATCTGTAACAATCACAATACCTCATTTTTCCACCTCTGCTTTATGTAACCAATCAAATTAATTATTCCATGTGACCATGTCCTGTCACATTTCGATCATTAAACCATTAACAATGTACAAAAACTAAAAATAAAATAAATATATTAATAAATACCAAATTTAATACATGCTCATTAGGCATTACCTCTCTTACAAATACGTAAATTACAATCGGTCACAAACTTAGAAAATTATTTTAAACCAACAAACTTATATAGTGTGGTTTTTTTTGTAATTTCAGTAAGGCGATTTCAAAATAATTCTTTTGAGTACCTATATTACAAAAACAAGAATAAATTCTCAAGTTACCAATTGGAAAAAGGCCCACCAAAGCAAGAGTAGATCAGGACCAACCTTTTAAAGAGACAAAAAGGAAGACAGCACTGCAAATCCACCACGTTGATGCAGTCCTCATACCCCAGTTCAAATGCAAATGACTATAGTGACCCTCCCAAGGGACCATTCTTGGTGACCATAATTTAATAAATAAATAAAACAAATTTTTTTTTTTTTTTTTTTTTTTTTTTTTAGTTGGTACTGATACGTACATGTCTCTAACTTGAACCCTCTAACCTTTCTTTGAAAGATAAGAGAATGATATCGCTAGGTCATTGTTCAGTTGGTAAAAAAAATAATATTCGCTCAAAAATACATGTTGATATTTTTATTATTATAATTTAAGCACTTTCGATCGGATAAATTATAAATCACCTTCATGATGTCCATTTTCTTAGGTCCCCACCATAAGAATTGTTTTTTACCTCAACCTACCATGATACTTGGGGTATATAGTAGCCTCATTATTGCAGTCACTTTGTATGAAATAATAGTAAAAAGTTACATCTGCTTGAATAATGCACTCCTTTTTCTTTTCTTTTTTCTTGTTTGTTTTTTTTCACTTTTTATGCTTATAGAATCAGGTGTGATGCATTATTTACGATTGTGTGATGCATTATTCACGATTGTTTGGCTCTACAGGAAGACAAATCTGTTGGGTGTGAGCCTTGTCGCATAACCTACTCCATATATTCACAATTTAAAATTCACCGAAGGCACTAACCACTGAACTATCGAGACATCTGCAACGAGTCTCACATATTTACGATTATGTTTTTAGTTTGTGTGTTCCTAGAGAAAAGTACGGAGTTCTAGACAAAGAAAGTAATAAGTGAGATATGAGAAGATGCTGTAAAAAGAAAATTAAAATGAAAAAATAAAAATAAAACGATAAGCTCAACCAGCACCATATCAACTGATTGAGCTTATAACGAGCACCATGCATGATTCTCTTGTTTGCGTGTAAAAATAAATGGGAAATTCAAATTACAAAAGCATAAAGGAAACGTCAAAGAGTCAAAACACAAACTTGTACTTGAAGCTTGTAACAATTGATAAGAACCAAGCGTGAATGAGCTTCTTGCCTACATTATTATGTTTATTTTGACCAAAAACCAAAAAGCCTTCACTCACTCGGCTTCCCATTTGCAAAAGGCCTGTAAATGTACACTGTCAACCCTCAAGAAACAAAATGCTTTTGGAATACATGTCTTCTCTTCTTCTGTTTTTTAAAAGCGCTTTCGCTCTTAGGACTGAACGGATATTAGGAATAATGAAAAGTACTAAGATAAATAATCAAATGATTAAAAAATAATTATTATAGCACCTAACGAAAGTAAATTTAGGTGACATGACCATATTCAGTACCGACTTTTCATGAAGAGAGAAAAATTGATTTTTAGGCTTATTTTAGGGTATTAGTATCCTTTCGAGATTCGAGTTGCAGTTAATTTTCAAATTACAGTTAGTTTCCTTACGAATTAAGATTTTCTTTCATTATAAATATATGTAATGCAGAAATTAGAATTATTTATTCAATTATCAATACAAATATCTAAATTTATCTCTTATTTTGTGAATTTAAAGTACTATTCCGTTCCATGTAAAAAAAAATTAATTTATGTGAAGAGGACAAAGAGATCGACAAAATAAATGAAGTGATGAGAAATGACTCGAGCATACGACTTATAATAAAAAAAATAGTTAAAAAAAATAAAATAAGACAGCTTGAGACCATCCACCACAGACACACATGATGATGATGTCAAATGCCACATGTTGGTTGATAGTAGGGCTAATGATACTTTTTTTTTTTTTTTAATAATGAACACTCAATTGAATCGATGAATTGCAAAGCATTCACAATTGATTCGAGAAAGATTTTGTCGGAAACCATAACAAAATATCGAACAAATAGTACACAACATTTTCTACGAAACCAGACTTATACGAAAATATATATATATATATATATACTTGATTTTTGCCGTTTGTTGACTCTAGAGAATCAGTCAAAAACTAAAAAATTACCGAACCCAGTAGTCTGGGTGAAATATATTTGATGATTCCTTTGGAATACAATTGACTCTAATTCTCTTATACAACAAATAATGTGGTCCCATGGATTGAAGAAAACACACTGACTAAAGATGAGGACATCAAAACAATCTGGAAAAAAATTGTATGGGGAAAAAAGAATAGAAAATAAAGGCAGACGAACATGTTTCGACCACGTCCATCACGAAGACGACGTCTCTGTTTCTACAGCTATTGATGCTAATGAGGGCTGATCGATTTCCTTGCGGGATGCTTCCCAGAGTTGTTGCTCTATACCCAGTTTCCTCAGCTCTGTCAAACCCCGCTCAACTGCGACAAATCAAACAAGCAATCCATAATTATAGGCTTTGTTGCAGGTTCTAATAACTAATTCACTCGTATAAGCATTTCAGAACATTTCATAATTGTGGTCAACGAGTGAACTTTTATGGTCACAATTATAGTGTATTTTTTTCCCCCATTTTTTTTAAAAAGGTCTTCATTGACGTATCCCTATCCCTATGTGAATGTTTTCCAAGTACATGTCCATCAACTTATATAAAATTTTCCTCTCAAATTCACAAGCATGGCAAAAATGGCCATGCAACTGCAATGAAAGTGGAGATATTGAGGCATGAGTTAATAGGTGAGAAGAATGATACCATCTACAGCATCATGCGATGTTGGTGTCTGCCCACTTCGGCTAATCCAATATTGAAGTCGCTCTTCTGCAATATCTTCTTCTACATCATGTTCTTTGGCTCTTCTCCAGAAATAAGTTAGCCAAGCCTGCACGTACCATATAAGTTGCAAAAAGTATAACTCTTAGCATATTCACTCAACATCTCAGAGCATGCAAATTAGTTATTGAAACCAAAAACCCATACCTGCTATAAAGACTTCCAATGCACTACAAAAAAAGGTTAGACAAGCCTATCTCAGCTGAGGTTGACAAACTCCATATTAAGTTCTATAAGGACAATCTAACTTATAAACAAAAATAATGATATACATTTAGACTAGTTTTTTTTGTATGGTAAAAATATTAAACAAGGGAAAAAAAAGTATAGTAGGCACCAAGGTGGCTTAATGTTAGAGAGGGCTTGTCCCACATCGGATTTGAATGGGGAAGGACTTGACCATATATTGGCGGGTAGGCAATAGCCGCAATACTACCCAATAGATTAAGCTATTGGGTCAAAGAGCAAGTGCCTGACCTGTTACAAGTGATGTTAGAGCCAGACCCAATTCTTGATCCAATGTCACGTCAAACTCCCACCCACCTAGGCGGAGTCCGGACCCTGGTCGTTACTTGGTCCTCCCCTTGTTAGGGGGGACGGGTACACGGGGTGGTGCGACTGCAACGATGGCATTGCGAAGGCATTCTGGTCCTACTACAACAATGGAGTAGGACTTGGACATCGGATCCGAATGGAGTAAGACTTGGACATATATGAACGGATATTCCACACTACCAAATAGCTTAAGCTTTTGGGCCAAAGAGCAAGCACCCAGCCCATTACACTTGTCCTCTTGGCATAGTGGATTGCATGAAATAATTTATTGGTTCTTCTGACACTAGTCCACTTGGGATGTTGATTTGGTGGGAAGTGGTTAAAAAAGGTTATCCATAATGTTACAAAATTAAATAGGGGTAGGACACATATCTGGTATAAAAAGCATAATGGTCACATTGCCATTCACCAATGGGGGAACTATAATAGGTCATGCCTTCTTGCTGCTGCTAATGGCATCATGTATGACCTTGTGTGTGCTTTTTCCCTTTATTTTAAAATTTTAAGTGAAAAAATAAAATAAATTTGATGGTAGAAAAATCGAAAGATGCTTCCTAGTCAGAAAAATACTCTGGATACATTATATAGACAGCACTATTGAGGTTGACCTGATTACTACACTGCACTCGTAAGAGTATGCATCATCATAAAAGAGTCATATATGGCTGAAAGCATGAGCAAAATAAAAAATTACAAAAGAAAGCAGCACACCTGCTTGAAAAGAACATCTTCCGACTCCTCTTGGCTTAACTCTGCAACCAAAAATATCAAATCTGAAATTAGTTCTACAGTTACCCCACACATTTTCACAAAGTATATATGCACAGCTATAATTTGGTTCCCCATGCACGTGAACAGGATTTTCTATACAGTATAATACTGACATAAACACAACCTCGAAAGTTTAAACAAGGCAACACACACATCCAGATACAAGGCCTCTGATGCTTTACCAAACAAAAGTATGCCATCAGAAGCTTGTACATTTAACAGAATCATAAATCTCAAAAGCTGATTACTTTAAGCCGTTTCTATCCAGAAAACTAGAAAAAAGTTAAAAAGCCTGCTTCCAAGGAAGAGAACCAACTTATTCAAAGCCGGAATACAACGCAAATATAAAACAATATAGCGCTTGCATATACAACATATGATGTCCATGAAGAATGGAATACAGAAAAAAACAAATGAAATAAATCAAAACAGATCTCATCTATTCTACCCAACCAAATCCCCCACATGGAATCACAGCCACAGTTTGGTATAGCATGAATAACTCATACTAGTAGTTGCACATAGACAAGAGAACAAATTTCCAAATATCCAAAGTATGCAATACATTGGTAGAAAGGAAGTTACAATTACTCAGACACAAATACCCACTTAAAGCTACTTCAAGCCACTTCTGTCAAAAGAAACTTTAAAGCCCGCCAACTAGGAAGGGGAACTACATAATATACGCTAAAATCCGGTGGTTACAGGAAATGACATATATATAACCAACTTGCATATGCAGTATCTGATGTCCCTGTAGGAAGGAAGCACCAACCCTCCACACAAAAACTTAAAAAGAAAATGAATTCATCAAAAAAGAACACATCAATTCTAGAACTGGTCAAATTTCTTTCCAATTAAGCAACGGACGCAAAGATCGGGTATAAGGAAGCAGCAATGGTAGAATGCTAGACATGGATTCTAGATCAGTTACCAACGGGTCAGTGGCCTAGCGGTATCAGGCTCCTACTTCCTAAAGGAAGGTCAGGAGTTCAAGCCTCAGTGGAGGTATGTGTATGTAAGTACCAACTAAGAAGAAAAAAAAAAAAAAAAAAAAAAAAAAAAAAAAATTCCAGATCAGTTTCTGTACCCCCCTGCCCAGCATGTTGACCCAGAAACAGAAACAAAAATTAGAAAAGCATATGATCAATTAGGAATAAGAAAAGAAATATAAGAAAACTGCAACTACACATGACACCAATCCCAAGATTTTCAGTTTACTATAGTATATGGAATTCACCGTATTCTCAATCTTAGCATTTGCAGTGTCAAAAAAAAAAAAAAAAAAAAAAAAAAAAAAAAAAAAAAAAAAAAAAAGTTAAGTGATAAATTAAAACATCTTAATTACCAAATGCTTCAATGAACTTGGGATCACTTGCTGATTTGGGATCTGCAAGACAGAAAAACAATAAATAGTTTTATTCAGTGCATATTACCAAATCTATTCTCTCCCATAACTTGGAGATTATCTCAAACTAGCAATTACATAGTCAAAAGAGTGTATTCGAAATAAGAACACTTTTCCCACCTAGACATTTATTTTAAAAAAAAATCACTAGCATATATGAAGAAAATACAGCAAATATACCATCATATTATATGTGGACACAAAATCCAGTTTTTAACATATCAAAAAAGTTGCATATGATGGTAAAGCTATCATATTCATAGTTGAAAGAGACAAAAGATCGTAAAACAAATATAACAATTTTCACGAGGAAAATAAAGACTAATATGTAAAGAATGCAAGTATGGCAATAAAATTGAACAAGGGAATAACAAATGAACCAAAGACGACAGCAAGGTCAGACTGAAAAACTTAAAAACTTTTTAGTTTCTCAACCTATCAACTGGAACAAGGACTACCAACAGGCTTGTGGCCTAGCGGTACAAGGCTCCTACTTCCCAAAAGGAGGTCAGGGGTTCGAACCTCAATGGAGGCAGTGTGTGTGAGTCCCAACTAGGAAGAAAAAAAAAAAAAAAAAAAAAAAAAAACCAACCTGGAACAAGGACTTTGTCCAATCATTGTCATTGTTCCTCACAAGCACTAACATGACCATGGGCCTTACCTGAGAAGGATTGTCGAACCAGATTCGGGCGCCGGCGTTGGGCCAATGCCAAGACAACAGCATCTTCAACCTTAAAACAGCAGTAATAAGAAATTGTTAAGCATGTAGAGAATCATGAAGATAAAGTAATAAGAAATAAATAAATAAATGAAATAAAAAAATAATATAATCTATCATAAAGCAATACAAAATTGAAAACACATTCCTGAAACTTATGTTTCCAGAATGAACAACCCTCATGGTATCACATGCCTAATTTTGATACAACATAATTCAAACGAGGAAAGGAACCCCAAACACAGAAATATATATACATTAAAATGGAACAAAAGGCTGAAGTTAAACATAAAAGAGAAAACCTTCAAGGAAGCTAATTCCCTTAGACCCATTTCAATAGAAAGCATAGTCTCAATATTCCCTTCTCCAGTTAGGTCACTCAAATCGCGAGCATTCCTCCTATCTGAACCATCACCACCTGTTCCATATTACAAATAAAAGCTTAAACAAGTCAGACATAACAATGCAAGTAAATTTTAAAAGAGTGAAAAAATAAATAAAAAGAAAAACCTATTGTAGCAATGAGAGAACTTGCCACTGTTCCAGGACTCCTTGGCCTTCTGTCCAGCAGAAATAACAACTTCAAATGGAAGAGGCGCTAATGATGACCAATGCTCATGCTTTGAGACTGATACATCTGCACAGATGCCTGTACAGCAAGAAAGAGCAAAAAGGGCCGAAAAGCAACTCAAGAGGTGATAGAATGAATTATAGTTGAAGTCAGCCATTCAAAGCATAGAGTAGGTTAACAAAACGTAACCAAGCTTAGGAGTTGAAATGAAAAACGTAAAATTAGTTTAACTTCTATCTAGTGATTTGTCGTCATAAAAAAAATCAAGCTTCATATGACAGTTGAACTTATAGACGACACATGTTAGGGCAAGAGAGAGAGATCAAAACATGCAATAGCTCATTTACCACTCTTAGACTTTAAAATAAGAAGTATAACAGCAAGTAGATTACCATGCTGTACAGCTAAGCCCCAGTAGCGAGCAAGCCAACACCTCTTTAGAACAACCTCCTCCTAAGATGTCGGAATCCCAAATATAAAAAAATAGATTTCAGTAAAAAATAAAATTAGACTTTAAACTGCCAAGTATAATTCTCATTACAACCATAAAGGACAACCATCTCTTCATGTGTCAAAATCATTCTCTGTGTCATCGTCCGAAGAGCTTTAGCTTCAGATTCGGCTTCCTGTAGCTGTTCTACAGCACCTCCAGTCTCATCTTTTAATTTCTAATACAAACGAATAGAAAAGGTATTAGAGAGAGAGAGAGAGATTGAAGTGCTTAATCGTATAGAATGAATTACCTCAATTTCTGCACGAAGGGCAAAAACTTCCTCGTCTCTCCCATCCTTGGTTTGTTTATCAGCTTTAAGGGCAGCCTATCACAAAGAATTTTATGCAGCTTAAGAGAAGCTTCTAGCAGAGACACACATTTGACATGAAGCAAACTAGTATACCCTCGTGATAGAGAATAGAACATATTGCTAGTCAGTACGAATAAATTATCTGAAATTACAGTACACACGTCTGGCATACTTTAAAGAAATGAATTCCTCAGCACCAATAGGAACAGCACAAACCAATGCATTAACAGCCCAGAAAATATGCATATATATATATATATATATATATATATATATATATATATATATAGATATAAAGGCATAAAAATGCCAACTTATATTTATGCAGCACTAACTTACCTCTCTTTGACGCAATGCTGCTTCCTTCCTGCAGATAATCAGATACCACATTATAATCAGGATGATAAGCAAGGATATGACACAGGTAAACTACAATAATTTTACCTGCTCAACAATTTAGCTTCCAGGGATACGCCTTCTCCAAGAGCAGCAACCTTTAAATTCAGAATTGAAACAGCAAGATGAATATACTTACCAAATAAAAGATGAATAATTTAGCATCATTGCAGAAGTAAAAACTGAAAATGCATAGAACCCATTGGGCCACTCAGTGACGGAGCCACGTTGGGACCAGTGGGGGGCAACTGCCCCCGCTGGACTTTTCATTTAATTATAGTTTTATACAATATTTTTAATAATTATAGTTATGTCCCCACTAAACTCCTTAAAACTTTAACAAACTTAGGAAATAATTCCAAAATTCAAAAAGACCCCTCCTATTCCCTAACAAGTTTCTCAAAAAAAAAAAAAAAAAGGCCACGTCTTTTCTCCCTAAATTGTAGAATAAAATTTTAACGAATTAAAATTCAGAATATACCCCTGCTTTGTTATTTATTATTTTGGTTCAAATTTTCTTATTATATTATTTTAATGGTTGCCCTCTCTGAAATAAATTTCCGGCTCCAGGCCAATAGTATCATAAAGTTGACACAATAAGCTCTTGCACTGGTCTAACTTGCTTCTGTTCAAATGATTTTAAACCAGAAAGCAGTTGCACCGATTAACTTTTGGCATGCACCGATTAACTTTTGGCATGCACCGATTGAACGTATAACAATCAGCATAAGGAAATTGCACCGTGTACCGTTCAACGTCCAACTTGGCCTAATTAAGATAGGAATTTGATTTTTATCAGATGCGTGTCAAACGTTTTCTAATCATTTTAGAAAACTTTGGGAAATCAAATGCAAAGAATCTTTGGTAAAAAACTCGACTATTGTTTTTATTGAACATCTAGATCAAGTATTGCAAGGAGATTTGATCGAGAGCTTACTTTATTAGGTCAATGGCACTTAGGTTGGAATTTCGTGTCAAAAGCTTGACCTTGTAATTCATTTTACTTTCAAAATTTTGAATGTTAGTTAGAGTTGGTTACCTCTTGTCCGAGGACAGAATTCAATTTAAAATTACAGTGAGGAACAATAAGGTAAACTCTACACTTAAGGTAACCTCAACGCTCATACATGTGCTCACAAATTAAGGTTCATGCATTCATCAATTAGGGTATCATGTTTTCCTTGTTTGATTCTGAAAAATCACGTTTGATATACTTTTAAGAGTTTTTGAAACCTTCTCTAAATTCAAATCCTAATCAAAATAGGACAGAGCACTTTGATCGACAAAGGATCAGTCAAAGGCTACTGACCTGGTGTTGATTGATCAAGCAAGGTGAAAACAGAGTATCCTTTTCAAATCCAATCTCTTAAAACCCTATAGTTTTCTAAATTTTTTCCTCTATGCAAGGACTAGTGTTTAGAAAACATACGCATGCTTCATAATATTCTCTCTAGAATTCTCTCAAGCATTCTAGCAATTCTCTGCTAGAGATTTGTTTCTTTTGTATCATCGCTGCGTCTAGCTTGGTGAGTATGTGCTACAGGTGTCTATCTTCTATCTCTCTATTGTGCCTACAACGCATTCAACACCACGCAAGGAATTATCACACGGAGCATCCAGATTGGACAACAAGGCTTGGAGATCAAAGTCTTTGTGGAAAAGCAGTTACTGTGAGGAACAGATCTGTTGACGGAGCGGACAGAGGCTCAGAGACTCAAGTGGAGGGTTTGGCATTTGTCTGTAACAAAAGGTAATCAAGGGTTTCTAGGGTTTGGGAAACTGGTAAACCTAATTGTAATATATCTATCTTTTTCTCATTCAAAAATTTGATCTACCTAAACTAGGTCCACAATTTTTCCTTTCGGGGTTTCCACATAAAAACCTCTGAGTCCATTGTGTGATTTAGCCCTACTTTATTTTACTATTTTACGCAATTGATTAAATAATAGATTAATGGTTTTCATAGCTTATAGTTAAATTAATTTTTGAATTACTGTAAATTTAGTAAAAGTTCAAAAATTAGTCCAAATCAATTCTTTAGCTCTATTCACCCCCTTCTCTCTCTCTCCCTCTCTCTCTAGGTCTATATTATGGGCCTTGCATAACTTCTCTATCATAGCCTAGGATTCCGGTCCTGCAACCCTCAAGAACATTTCAAGAGAAAAACCTGCAGACAAATTGCTGAGAGTTTTTCTTTGTTTCTTTTCAGTTTATACACACTCTTGCAGCTAAGTGATAGATTTGTGTATTCTCTTCAGATCATTAGAACCGAGCACTATTATTGAGATCAGCTAAAGCAATCAAAACAATAGATTCAGTCACATTCTTCGTACTCAATAGTGGAAGGAAAAAAGGCGTCTAATCACTAGGAGAAGCAGATCATCATGGGATAATTGCATTGACGCAGATTTGTGTTGCTGATAATTCTGAAGGCACTGGAATTGGACACTAAACCAAGATAAATGAATGATTGCCTGATAGGTGATTCTGAAGACACAGAAATTAGAGAGTCGTTGATAACAGTTTGGAAGGCACAAACTCGTAGTACTCTTTTGTCAATATAGTGAATCGCCTAAAATGACACCATCTTCGTAGTTTTTCCTTGCTAAGGTTTATAATGTAAAAATTCCTGGTACCATTTTGTTTTCTCTTGCTCTTTTTATAATGTCACATGCTTGTTGTGTAATAATTTAGTTAAATTTGCATAAAATTGAAGTAGGCAAATAGAGCAAACTAGACATATTCACCCCCTCTGGTCTTTCTAACTAACACAATTCCAAATCACTTTTACTTGTGCAACTCACAAATTCAATAATTGATACGTTTGTGCAATTCTGTGAATAGCATTCGGCAGCACCATTTTTTTTTAAGCAAACATATATATATATATATATATATATATTTGTAGAAAAAGGAAGCCAATTGCTGCAGTATGAAGATGTTATCACCATAACAGGCAAAGCAGCCTGTTACCCAAAAAACAAGAAATCTACTTTCTTTCTTTCTTTCTTTCTTTTTTTTTTTTTTTTTTTTAAAAAAAAAAAAAAAAAAAAATGTCGTGAGTGGAGAAAAAAGCTATTTAACCCCATAGTTTCAAAACAAGGCCTCGTCTCAGACTTGGCCATAAACGAGCCCAGGTCAAGATGACCGCCTAGGTCTAACGATCCTACTTCTAGCTTCTCTCTCAATTTTTCCATATCTCAATACCTAAACTTAGCGAAAACCAAACCTCTACCCTACCAAACAATAGATTTTTAACGAGACATAAAAAACTTGAGATTTTTAATGGATTTGTGCTATAATTGTTCCTAAATCCAGATTAATTGTATGTTCTGAATTTTTTGGTAAAATACTAATATATGTGTGCCTTACAAACTTTAAAAATACTTCATGTTATATTTGATTTGCATAAAAAAATTTAAAAAGTTAATACGAAAGTGACTTAAAAATGAATAAAAATTCATAGTTAAAAAATTGTTTTACAAAAGAAACAAGCAAATACGTAAGTGTAATCTTTAATGTATGTGATTTCCATCTGCCGACTACTGGTAGACTAATTTCCATATTCTAAGTAATTAGGGTATATACAATTTTTGTGAATATGACCCTTACTTTTTCTTTTTTCAATTTAGTATGCAATTGTGGACATAAATTTAGTGCAAAGTACAAATTATTACAATGATACTACTACTAACATCTTACGATTAATTATAGGCCATTACAAATATGAAATCACATTTTTGAATATTCAATAAAATTCATTAAAAATCATTCAAAACATGGTTTTGTTGAATTATGGGACAATACTTGTTACAAACCCCATTACAGCTTAAGAAAAAGACAACTCGGCCGTCACCACGTCAGCATTCTGTGACCACATTTTTGGAAACCTTGCATAACCATAAAAATATATATATTTTTTTAACAATATTTTTTTTATATAACAATTATATTTGCAACTTATTTATCAACATTATTCTCCAGGTTTCATAAAAGTTTTTTTGGGCAAGGCTGTTAACTGAAAGTTGAAGATAATGATTAATCAAAATTGTTTACCTGTTTCTCTAGCTCCTTTGCTCTGGCCTCTGCTTCTTCACGTTTTTGTTGTGCATTCCGAAGCTGTAGAGTAAATTCAAACATTAGTGTTTCATATAACAATAACATTGGCATTATTTATTTATTATATATTCAGAGGTGGCGTTCGTGGGGCAGCTCACTTTATCTTGGATAGCTTCGTTTTCCTCTTGTAGCATATCAAGCTGCAATTTTAAAAGATGTCAACTTCATAAAAATGATTCAAGAATGATTTTCCAAATCTCAAACATTATTAGGGGATTATCTACTTGCCCTAGTTCAGACAACACAAGATGCATAGAAGTCTGCAATAAGATAAAAAAATGGTTTCTACCATTGTATTACAGAGGTTAGCTGTAAGCCTGAAGAGAAGAAAAGAAATTGATAGGTGAGTGTCGTACTTCATCACGAAGTGCAGAAGCCTCTCGCTGAATTCCTGTATCTTTGGCGTCAATACGTCCCACAACTGATGTAAACCTACAGTTATTTCCAATAACGAAACTAATAAATTAATGGGCACCTTCTACATGCATAAGAACCTTCATGCACAGAAGAGATGTCGACAAAGAATTATTTCGAGTGTATGCAATCGAGATCCTGTAACACATTAGGTTGCAGACTAAGGTATTAAAGCAATCTGGCAAGGTTGCGAAGAGTTCTACGTATACTCAAACATCAAGAATCGGCAACAAAAATAATAAACATTATTAAGAAGAGGTAGCAACTGCCACCAAATGATCCACCGCCAAAAAAAAACCATCAAGAGAATCATTCAAATTTTCATACGCACATTTCTGATTGCTGATTGTTCTTCCTTATCAATGTTGTATCAAGAAAACTCCAGCTGTAGTAATCAGTAATCACAATAATGGAAAATACAATATCGACCATTTAACTAAATGTTAACAAGTAAGGATACTGAAAACCAAAATAAATCAGTATGGATGAAGGAGAATGAAAACATATCCTCAATGAATTAGCAAACATTTGACAAACAATCAAGTGATGGGACGTATAGTCATTTTATCTATCGTGCATCTGGTTCATCCTCCTCCTTTTTTTTCTTTCTTTTTTTTTTATAACAAATTCCGCACTCAAATACTAAAATAAATTGAAAAGAATATAAAATTCTCTCTAGAATTTTGGTGATCATTTAAGGTACATCCTCAGACAATTTCTATTCTACTTTTACTCTTATTCGACAAATAGTCAATAATTTGCTAGAGGTGTCCACGGCCAGACTGAAGTATGGAGTATATTAGAATATGAATTGACCCAGACATGATCTCAATCAAAACTATATTGAAAATTGGCCTGTGCCCACCCCTAATTATATGGTTAGTGTACTCTGTAAAAGGTGTTTAAAGAAAGCACTTTCCAGAAGAATTTCAGCCTCCCCCCAAGAGAGGGAGATACAGAATGATACATACAGATTTCTGCCTCTATATTTTGATTGTTCACACATAAGGTCACACATTTCAGACTTATCAATATAAATAAATAAATAAGGTCCCACATTTCAGCAATCCACAAGAAAAAGCCGCTTAAAAATTCAAAACTACATTTAATCATTAGTAACAAGAAAAAATAATAATAATAATAAAATAAAATTAGCAAAAAGGTAAGAACATTTCTACCTCCTTTCTCTTAGTCTGGCATTAGGAGGTTCTACTGGCTGCAAGGAAGCCGCAGTTCTCAGTGATGTTTTACTAGGTGGCACTAACGGTGTCGAACGAACGGACCTTGATGGTCTTCCAGCTGATGTGGAACGAACTGAAGGATTATGGTCCATAAAGTTCCGACCTAACTACATATGCAAATATACAATTAGCCTTTGGAACTGAACTAAGGTAAGATAGTAATTAATATCAATTATTGAGAAACAACTAGTATCCAACAAAAAACTATACTGATAAGTACTTGTGCATAGACAAGTGGCTTCTAAAATAAATTGTAAACAGACTTAAAATTTTCTTGATGATAGAAATTACAAAAATATTACCAAAAAGCGCCTTTTTTTTGTACAATACACATCCTGCTTTTAAGGCATCTTGCCCACACCAGAAACCATGACAATTGGCCAACTGTTTCTGCAAGCATTGAGTTTTATGCAAGGGACTAAAGAGTACTTTATGAGAAGTTAATTTAAAGCATAAGGTTTTTAGATACTTGAAATTTGAGAAACATCACATGTAAGACATATTAACAAGCAAGTTCCAAAATCCAGCAATTCTCACAATCCTCCCATAACTTGGAATTTTAATCTAAATTTAAATTTAGTAAACACCCAAAACCAAAATCAGATCGTTGTAATTCAAAAGTTCATCACACACACAGACAGACAATTATCCACTAAACATCAAACCAATCAAAAGCTTCAAATTTAAAGTGATTGCAAGAAGTTAACTCCTAAAGAAAATTCAAAATTCATACAGTGTCTAGATTTAAATCTCTCAAGCATACAAAATCACAGTTACATTCAATGCAAGTTAAACGTCATTTCCGTAACACTAATTCAATCAAATTTAGATCCAAAACACATTAAAAAAAGATAGAGTTGTAAGCAGTCACCGCAGGCGAAGAAGATCTATTGGGCCTGGCAAGCGAAACAGCAGGTATGCTATCGATGGCGGAAGCAGGAGGCGGAGGACCGAAGCGAAACCTAAGATCGTCGTCTTCCTCGTCGTCGTCGGCCGTCTGCGACGCCATCACCTGCGCCAAACGCTGCGCGGCGGCCTTCGCCGCCACGTTCTGAGTCCTCTTGATGGTGGAGAGTCCAGTCGCTCGCGAGTGGGGGTGCGCCGGCGACATCACAGGAGACGACGAGCCCGTGCTGCTCGAACCACCACTCCACTGCCGAGTGTACACCGGACTCTCCGTCCGTCTCCGATCCATATATAAAATATATAATAAGTATATATAGAGAGAGAGGGAGGGAGAGAGAACTAAATCTTGTGGGAGCTAGATTCTCGAGAAAAACAAGAAATTTTGATCGTGGAGATTTTCTCGAGAAAGAGGGAGAGAAGATCGGAAGGGGGGTGTTTGGGAATTGAGATTTGAGACGAGAAAGACGAAGCTTCGAATGTAACGATGCCGTTTGAAGGAGGAGTGACGGTGACTTACGCCTCGCGGGTCTGAATTTGACAAGAAAGAGAAGAGAAGGACGTGGTCGTTAAGGACATGCCTACTCAAATTGAATGATTAATAAGTCAATAAAAAAAATATAAAAAAAAAATATATAAAAAGAATCATTAATAGATAAAGTTACGTGAATTTCAATCTTGTCAATATTTTCTTTTTCCTCTTTTGTGGAAATGAATATTTCTTTTAATTTTTTATTTTTAAAAGCATTGTCTAAAAAATACAAAAATGAAAGAAGAAAAAAGAATTACTAATAGATAAAGTTACGTGAATTTCAATCTTGTCAGTATTTTCTTTTTCACCCTTGAATGGAAATGGATATTATTTTCCTTCAATTTGAAAGATTCTCGAAATTTTAAATTTCTATATAAGTTATATTCTAATTATTTTTTAATATTATTAAAAGTTAATTAATATAGAAATTAAATAATTGGGCTTAAAAATTTATATTCTTAAATAATTTTTTTATTTTTTTCTCTTTTCTCTCTCCTCCTCATTTACATTTTTTTTTAATTAAACTTTAACCAATAAAGAAATATTGAGTTCCAAAGATTTGTTTCCTTAAATGATTCTTGTTCTTCTTTTTTTTTTTCTTTCTATCTCTTCCTCTCTCTCTCTCTCTCTCTCTCTCATTCTCATACAGAATCTTAATACTGATACCAAAACTTTATATTCTTAAATAACTTCTTTTTTCTTTTTTTTTTCCTCTTTCTCTATCATTTTGGCATTTTTTACAACAAAATTATTTTTTTTCCTCTTTTCGGTAAGTTATGCCAGCAGTAAATATTAAATACGTATTTAACCGTTTTTAGAAAGTATTATTTTTCTAGCTTTTATCTTTTATTTACATTTTTTTTTTCTTCTTACTCCTCACATACTTTATCTCTTCTCTCAACCAGTCGTATTCCTTCTCCCTAATTACAAGTCTATAGTTCTCTTTCTTTTTCATATTTTTATTCTGTTGAAGAATTTGTAAGACCATAGGATTGGAGTTTTCTAAATTAGGTTTATTTGTTCTTTTTCTTTAATTATGTTTTAATTTTATTAACTTTTGTTATTATAAATTTATGCATAAATATATTTTATATATTTGTATAATTTAACCTAACTTAAATACAAGAATCTAATTGGTTATTTTCCATTTCACAAACAAAAAAGGTTGATTTTTAAATAAATATGAATATATTATTAAAAGGTCATTTTTTTTTTTTTTTGGCACTTAAGACCCCAAATTATTTCGAGTCGTTTTTGCTGTTTATCGTTTCATTTTAATAAAAAATTTACACTCTTATAAATTTTTGAGCAAATGAAACTTTATGTATAAAAGTCTTGCATTTGAAAGTTTGTCTAAATCCTCTTAAAATTTTGAGAATCTTATACCGAGTTTGTGCCTAACCAACAAATCGATTTGAAAAAAACAAATAAAGAAATGGTAGTAACGTATTATCTAATATCTACTATAACTTACAACACACAAATATGTATTACATGTAGTAACGTATATATATATTGTCATCATTTGTCTCTTTACAATATTAATTAATATAGTGAAACAACTTATGATTTAGAATGGACTACAATAGAAGCTTACCTCGAATTTACATGTAATACAACCTTACAACTACACCAATTATTCCATAATTTCCAATGTCACCAAGTATCCATAATTTTAGTTATTTCAGTCATCTAACAAGGACTCAACTGTTTGTTTGATAAACATTTTTTTCTTTTTGGATAACTACTCCATTCTCAAGAATGAATTGTCCCTTTTGAGAATTTATAAATGTTACACTAACAATCAAAATCATTTTCTTCCAAATCAAAGCACCAAACCTTGTCCAACATTGTAGTCAAACACATCATAAACAGTCTTAAACTCGAAATATGACTTCATATTCAATTTTTCTTTTTCTTTTTTCTTCTTCTAATTGTGGTGTCCAAGACTTTGTTCCGATTAATCCACAAGATTTGTGCAAGGCATCCCCACACGGATTGTGTAAAACTGATGTCGGATTGGATAAAGTTCGAACTATGTCCGAAAGCGTGGACCTTAAAGAATTGTTTACACCTAAGAAGAATTGATACTGAGACATGATGCTTCATGAAGTACCGAGATTTAAGTTTTTTCCAATTAGGCAGACCCCTTGAGGTTAAATACAGAGTATTCGAAATTCCATGTTAACACAATGAATGGAGACTAATGGAGACTTGCAAAATGGAGACTAATGTTTGGAAAAGCAACAATCCTCTGCAAAAAAGATCATAAAGATGAAAGGAGTGGTTCATAGCAAAACATACCATGCCTAAAGAGGTTCATTCCCACCGCAATTTGCAAAAAGAATTGGAGGTCATTAGTACAAGTTCAAATCTAGGTTTTCTCAACAGACAAAAGCACAAAACAAAGACAAACCTAACTAGCTCACCAAATGATCCTCTGCCTCAACCAATCCAGAACCTCTACCTTAAACCCTCATTTGGCCATCTTAGCCGCCGACGAGGATGATGTCTCACTTCAAGCTTCACCCTTCTTCTGAACAAGTTTCTCTATCAAGTCGGCCGCTTCTTGGACAGTCGTTATGTTCTGAGAGCTGTCCTCCTCCACAGTAATGTCGAACTCTTCCTCCAATCCCATCACTATCTCCACCTGCTCACATTTCATCAAATATTAATACATAGTAGATCGACCAACCAACCAATTCATGAGTAGTTGGGACATTTAACAGCATGGTTAAAACCAATCAAGTATGCATTTGATTATATTTAAGAAGAATGTGAGGCTTACTGTGTCAAGGGAATCGGCGCCAAGTGCTGAAAACTTGGATTCAGGGGTAAGCTCGGATTCAGGAGGCAAGGCGAGTTGTTTCCTCACGATTTCACAAACTTTCTGCACTGTCTCGGGCTTTGCCTGTCAAAATTTTGAAATTTAAAGCATATTACCAGATGCATGGATCAAGGCAAGTTATGCAACAGATAAAGAGGGATAATGGAAGTACTGCACAAGTGATGCAAAGGCGCGAGGCTCTTGAAGAACGGAAGCCACTCCAAGCCCATCCCACGGAAACCGGCTTCAAACTAGAAATCCTTCCAGTTACCTGCACAACATGTAAGCACCACAAGCATATTACTGGTTTGATCACTCATGATATGAAACTCTAAAATGAGAAAAGGTTTTTTTTTTTTTTTTTTTTTTTAAAGTTTCCTGTTCATCTAGTATTTTAAGTAAATATTCACAAATTTAGTTGCTATTTTGCTCTGAAAATTAATCAATTGAGTTGATAAAAATAAATGAATTCGCCCCTAGGGGCTTGGATGAGTTGGTAAGGTGAGGGCTTTGGCTATTAATGGCCAAAGTTCGAGCCTTCCCACCTCATTTATTACTCTCGACTTACCTTGCCGATTATAATGTAGGGTCGGCGTCGGCAACCGAGAGTTTATTTGGTAGCTACAAGTCCAAAGGGCGGGTGGTTGCGAGAGTTCCCGCGTCATAAAAAAAATAAAAATAAAAAATGAATTGGTTCCAGTATAAAGGCTTATGTTCTTAGGGCATGAATTAGATTGTTTATTGTGTAGAAAGTTTCACTGAATTCTTCATCTAAGAAAAGTTGCTCAACACAGCTTGCATAAAAAGAGTCATAAAATTCTCGGTTCAACTCAACATGGTATGAACTATTCTTGCCTCTCTTCATTCTTTAATACAATTCTTTGCCGAGCCTCTGCCAAGCAAGATTAGGTTATCTTCTCTAATTTTCATTCATTCATCCATGACAATACTCAGTTAGTCAGTTGTATATTACTTTATAGGAATTCAACAGGTGTTCTTCACCGATCCAAAATCGCAGACTAAATTATCCCTACTCAACCATTTTATAAAATATATAAAAATAAATTTTTTTATAAAATGACCGAAAAGGACATTGTTGGAGGATAATCCTCACGTACAAAAAACACCTCTAAAGTTTCAATTTTATGCAAATAGGTCCCTCTAACAAATGTAAACCCAAAGTTGACTAAATTACCCTTACTCAACCATTTTACAAATTATATAAAAATAAATAATTTTGTAAAATAACCGAAAAGGACACTATTGGAGGATGCTGGTAATGGACAAGTAAAGATAAAAATATAAAATAAAAATAAAAATATAAAGATAAGTAAAGGTAAAAATAGAAAATAAAAAACGAAAATAAAGTGCAAACTAAAGAAAACAAATCTGCTCCAAACTCCAAACATCAGTGCACAATGATATTTGGAATTTTTTCCTTATTTTTATTTATTTTTTTATTTTTTTCCTTGTTTAGCAGTGTTGGTACAAAAAAAATAATAATAATAAAGAAAAAAAAATTAGTAGAAAACAGTAAACTGAAAATTCAAAAAATTTAAATCCTTGTTTAATAAATTCTCAAAATTTCAAAAATTAAAAGTTTAGAAATATATATAGAGAAAAAAGTTTTAAATATATATAAGGTAATGTACACATAACACTCCTATACTATAAGATTAATATTATATATATTCCTTTGGGCATATTTAAAAAGTAAAAAGGCAAAACGGGTATTACATCCCTAATTTATGTTATGAGGGGTATTTTTGCATAATGTGAAAAAATTAGAAGTATTTTCTACACACTTTTTCAAATAGGAAGTAAAAGTGATAAGCAGAGTATACTTTAGGAGTCTTTTCTGTACTTATCCCTGTAAATAAATATATAAAAAATAAAATAAAACAAAAGTAACACATTTAATTTCCAAAATGGCATATGGAAACCATAGATCAATTTGGCCATAGAATGCTATGCAACTATGAGACTTGGAATCTCCACTTGCACTTTAAGGCTTTTACCATACGCACCTCAATTTGGGACAAATCTTTCAACTGAATTTCATGGAAGGAAAAAATAAAAAACAAAAAACAAAAAATCGAAGTAATGCTTCATAAAGAGAAAAGATAATTCGATTTACATATACTGCCTGCTAATATACATGAACAACATAACGTAAGGACCTACTTTAGCCTTTTCTTTCCATGGCAGACATAATGTAACATTTGTGTGAGGAACGTCAACATTGCCATATAAACATACAATTCGATTTAAGTTCAATTATGTTGCGTTTGGAGCATGGAATCCGCACCATAAAAATTAGTTCAAAACTTCAAAATATTTTTCTTTCATTTTCTGTTTTCAATTATCCCAAACGTAGCTTTTTGTTGGTTCACTCTTAGTCCTTTAGGGACGTAACTAGTTCCTTCAAAGACTCGCAATCACCACCAAATGTAAATCAGGGTGAAGGGTTTAACATTCTGAAGAGTTGAATGCAAAAGATGTGAGTCGTGTTCAAATGTATCATGTTATATGGATTCGGATATTTGTGTTAGATACAGGCTCATTTTATTAAATATTATTATTTTATTTTGTTAAGAAAATTCATGTTTTTATGTAATATAAGTGTCCAACATATACATTACACCCATCGGAAGTATTAAATATTAATATCATAAAATTGAATTATTGTATGGTATGTTTTAGGTGCATGTCCAATAAAAAATGAGACATACTCCATTATCTGTCCACGTGTAATTCACCTACCGATTTTTGAAGTGAGAACTCAACTACAGTGGTTCAACGAATATTTGACTTCACATATTGGAGTTCACGACTTTTGTTTCAAATATGCATGAGTAACAAGGACTAACTATAAATAAAGCAACATATCTCTAATTCTCTATCTAATTTTTAATGTATACATATATCCATATATACACAAACACACACACACACGTATGGATTGAGATTATAAGGAAATTAAGTCATGAAATGATACATAATTAAGCAAGAGAGAAGTGAGGTTTGACCTGAGTGAGCTTAGTAGAATGTTTCCATGATGACTCGAACCTAACACAAGTAGCTGAAACACAGGCCATTGACAAAACCCGAATGGAGCAGAGATTCAGAAGAAAGAGGGTCTGAACTAGAAAAACTGAATTTATAGCAAGTTTTCACAGAGGAAATGATATTGTCCGGGTAGCAGAAATACGACGCCGTATTTGATTTATGGCTTCGTATGAAGTGAACGTTTTTCTTGGAAATAGTAAAAGTTTTTACCGAACAAGTAGGGAACAAAGAGAATCTTGAGGCACGAATATGAGTGGCCAACATTCACGCTCCCACATTGAAGGCCTATCTTCATCTGCTGACGTGGCATTAGATTGGATTGGATTGGCCCTACTTTGGGCAAGTTGACTTACCCGCGTTGGAAGCTAACTAAAATCTATTTCAATACTATAAAATTTGGTGTAAATAAAAAACAATCACATTTATTTTTGAGATACAAGTGACATACCTGCGATTTTTTTTTTTTTTTTTTTTTGTTGCAAGAACAGCAAAATTGTTGAGTAATTGAACGAGTCTTATATCGGTTATAAAATAAAAAAATCTGGGACTTATATGGAACAAGAATCATTTCACCTAATAGTTTAACCTTTTAGGTCGAACATCCACATGCCTAACAGCTGGTATTAGATTCAGGTCCCGAAGAACTGTATGTGGACTCAAGATCCCTAGCTGACGGAAAGATGAAAAGGGAGCCTCATTCAGGGACCAGTGACATTCTATCCACCGGGGTGAGCCACATTCAAGGGGGGATTGTTGGGTCGTCGAACAAAAATTATTCCACCTAATAGGTTAATCTTTTGGGTTTGACATCACAAGCCCAACAAATACAACATTATAATACGGGAAAAACTAATAAAAACATGTGAAATTTCAATAGTATCTTGATCTCTTCCAGATATAGCCTTGCACACAGACGAGAATTTCTCTCAAAACAGACCTGGGAAAGACCACATTGCCTAAAAAATTTACTTTTCTAACAAGTTTCATCCTCATGGAATTCAAAGATACATAGCTAATATTATAGTACATGACATGGAAATGATCATCTTGAGTGAGAAGAGACAAATGTGAAGGTTATTTGCATTTCCGATCCTCAGGCTCATAATTTACATTCTGAACTCCAAAATGGCCGATATGTACTCGAACAGCTTCACTACTCGGTGATACATCCACATTATTGTGCTCATATCTTGGCCGGTATGCTTAAAGCCACATTGCTCACCGCTTTATAAGATGCTTCTTCATTTGTTTCCTCTGTTCCATACCCCTTCAAAAAGCAGGAATCTGTTCTTTACTATGTATGTCCCTGATCAAGCATGAAAGGCGAGTACATTAATTTTACAGCTTTGCATGCCAGATGAAAGAAAGAAATAGATAAATATTGTACTTTTTTTATTCTCTTTAGTGTTTTTTAAACAATTTAATTATATTTTTATTTACAGATCCTAATTGTTTTCAGCATGTCACTAACTTTATATTAGATCAAATTGAGAGATGATTTTCACATATAAGAAAAATATTAAAGAATCATAAATGTACAGTTATGTTATATGTATCAACAAGACAGAAAATCAACCTCGAGTTGTAAAAGGGAGGAACAACGAACAAGAAGAAGCAAGAACAAGAGGAAGATTTTATGGTGGATAAAGGACACAAATTAAGAAAGATACCTTTTATTAGTATCTGCACCATTCTGTGTACACAAATACGTACAAATGAGTGTCGTGAATTGAATAATACTAGACAAGACCTAAAACAAGTGACCTTTGATTACTACAAATGACATGGCAGTCCATTTGATATGATAACTGTACTAGTAACCAGAAAGCATTACCAAGGATAGGACTGTACAACATTTAAAGGGGAAATGTCGAGCACTGAAAATGACATGGAAAACTTCACAGGCTGTGTCCATTCGCGATGATACTTAAATTTACTCTGCATCTATTTTCACCCCTTTTGTCCTTCGTTGAAACAAGTTTGGAGCAATCCTTTTCAGTACATTTTAGCAATGTTTGGCACAATAGGATCCTTTTACTGGTAATGTTAGGCCACATCAAATGTTTATGCAAAAAACATGTAAGAAATAAAGATAATGCATATTTAATTAGTATATAATGAAACAAGAAACTATAAAAATAAAAAATAAAAAATAAAAAATAAAAAAAGGGCAAGAATTTAACATCTAAAAGGAAATAGTAGAAAAAACTACTAGCATTAGAAATGATCTCACCTCTACCAGAATTGCTGCATTGCTTGTTGAATGAGTTCTCACTGCAGTTAGTCCCTAGGTGCGTACTGGAATCTTCCACTCGCAGCTGTGAATTCAAGAATTTCTTTTGTGTGAAAAAGAGGGAATAAAGCTGAGAGGCTTGTATTGCCAACACTAAAGAAGTTCCCAACATATATGTAGCTTGAAGTTCAGAATATTTCACAATTTATTGCAATAAGCAAATTGACATATTAGATAACTGTAATTGGGCAACCAAGTAAAGAATCAAATACTTTCCACCAAGCTTTTTGTGATTATGTCATAAGTATAACTCAATGCATCAGAGATGTATCCAAGAAATCAATTGCAACACGGGAGTTACACGTATCTTACTCGATATCAATTGGTACATGGGAGTTGCATGTGCATTAAAAATTTAAAGTTCTAGGGAACTCGTGATGTCCAGCCAGAAAAGAGCACAAATCAAATAATTGACAATCTGACAAGGTAGGAGAAATGATATTCTACACAAAAATATATAAACTTATATATCAGAGTAACATTATACATTGGCACTGGTGGAAGATAAATCCCAATTTTTTTTTTGTTGAGCAAAGTCTCAACTGAACGACGCATTTTCCCAACTGCTTGGGGTCGTCTACATGAATCCTATTTTTCCATTCCACTCAAAGGCCATTGCCTCAATTAAACCACACGTATTTTTTTCCCCGATAATTAATTAAACCACACGTTATCATATCTTTCCTTACTAACTTTACCCATTTTATTTTTCCCTTCTCCTTTCCGTAACATTATCCTTATTCTTAATGTCGACTTGTTGAGCACTATCTATACGACTCAAATTTCTTCAGTGACAATACGTTGTGTCAATCATTCAAAAGAAAAGAAGCTAGGCAGGAGAGAATTGGCCAATTAAGATTTCTTGCTCTGATCAGATATGGAACAATAATGCACGTTTTTCATATTGGTTGAGCTTGAAAACCACAGAGATAATATGATGTAAAATTGTTAGAAATAAATACAGGCACTGAATTCACAATGACTGCCCCGAGACAATGGCATTTTGATTATCATATTTTTTTACATCTATATAATACATTAACATTAAGAGAAATGAAAACTACATATATATAGCCAGTGACGGATCCAGAAAATTTTCTCTCACAACTTAGAAGTTTGCATTTAATTTATTGAAGGAAATAAATTCAATAATTCATAAAACTATCAAAATATTCTCATAAAAACAACTATAAATTATATAAAAATACTTCTCCATATTCAAATTTTAGTCAGACTGAATCACTAAATTAGATTTTGATTCAATTATAATTCAATCCTAAAATCTGAATACGGATTTGAACCATAGGATATCATTCAAATATGCAGCTAAATTATAGTTGAGCTAGATTCTAGTCAAAGTTGGAAAGACCTCTATCCAATATTCGCAGATTGCCCAATGATAATTGAGTGTTTTGTCACTTCAATGATAAAACAGGGTGTTATCTAACTGTTGAATTTTTTAATCTTAATTGACTAAGATTTCTGCCATTTTTTGGGTATGTGAAAGACAGAATAATCTAATGTACATCCATAACATGAACAATACAAGCTGGATCAAATTTTGAAACAGGTTAATTGAGAAGTTTCACTCAAAGTCAATTTAGTTTGATAAGTGTTACCTACAACTATATAAAAAGAAAAAAGATCAAATTACTCAAGTTCGAATGAGTTATTTGACAATGCAATTGTTTGAGTTATCAAGTTAGAAAGTATGGAACACGTGTGTCAAGTGGAAGGAAAAAGGAAGGAAAAAAGAAACAGAAGTTCCCGCTAAAAGTAAAAATTAAGCCAACAGAACACCTAAGAGTAATGTCCAATATAGAGTGAAGAGAGACAAACGGAGCAGATTTCATAATGTGCAATGTAATGGCTCTGGTTAGAATGGTTGCTTGTAGACTATAGAAGGAAGGGAATAGAGTTATTTTAATAAAAAGGGAATGCAAAGATGAAATTCTTACCTTCATGACTTCAGCCAAGTGGTACTTTTTTTGTAAACACTAAATTCTCGATTCATTTCTTCTTGAAATGTTACTTCTAATTCAAGCAGCTAATCTAGAAAAAGAAAAGAACAATAAATAAGGAAATTTGAAGCTCACATATACGTCAAGCACTTAATAGAGAAGCATTTTTTCCTCCTCCACCAATCTTAGAATATCATCCAAGCATAAAAGAACATGATCATATTTTACATTAAAAGACATCAATCCAATAAACATTTATAATCTAAAAGCGTTCTAGAAAGTCATATTGATACCTTTGATCTTTGAAAAGAGAATGACTCAGATAGCTAAAACCAAGTGACGTTGTCTGCAAAATAAAAAAATATTTTAAAATCAAGAAAAATAAAAAATAGAGATAAACTAAAGACAAACAAAAATCAACATTATATTCTAGCCAAATTGGGAGTTCCATTTGTTAATGGATATGTTTCTGTTCTTCAATGGGAATATGATTTATCAATCATTTATTATTATTTTTTAAATAATACGGTAGGGATAATTTGGTCATTTTATCCCTCACGCTGTTCAAATATAGGACAATAATGTAGGTTTTCATAGTGATTGAGCTTGGAAACCATTGAGATAATACAATGTAAAATCATAAGAAATTAATGCAGGCATCGTATCTGCAATAACTATCCTCAATGATATGGCATTGTGATTACTAGGAAAGGATGATATGAAGCCATCGAGTTTTAGCTTCGTATTACAGTATGTTTCTGCACACGTGGGCTAGTAAAACAAAAACTTAATCGAGGAAGATGGATATTACTACTTAGCATTAGAAGTGAAGAAGGTCATTTTACTCCTCAGGAAGTTGTTGACATCTATAATAGGAATGAATTCTTTGAGTTTGAAATTCTATGATATCAAACTAGAGATAAGATAGGAGTTACAGAAACATCGATGCCAATTATATATTTGTATCAAACACATAAATTATTCATCTGAGAGTTGAACAAAGAGAGGAGGAAGTAACAAGATGAAGAGTTTTATGGTGGAAAAAGGATATATTCAGAATAAGTAGGGTACCTTCTATATATGCATGTCACCATATTGATCTGATATAAACCTGTGGGATGTGAGAAATCCTTGGCCAATCTTCCCCTGTTCCCTCACTGCATCTCTCTTTTAACTCCCGGAGAAAACCGTCAATTTCTAGTGAGACGCAGCCCCTCGGGCAGTGATGTCAGTAACGGGCATTTGGAAATGTAAAGTTTTTGGAGTGATGTGAGGTTGCAAATCCACTCTGGTAAACTAATCAAATTTTGACACCTTGAAATGGATAGAAGTTGCAGAGTGGTAACATATTGAAGCCCTGCAGGAAGAGATTCCAACTTGGGGTTGTATTCGATAGACAGAGAAGTTAGGTTCCTGAGGCCATGAAAATGCATGCCGTTATCATCACCATTTGACAAATCAAGCACTCGGCAAAACCCAATATCCAAAGACTGGAGGGAGGTGAGATATCGCATCCATCCCTGTGGACGGAGAGGTCAGTCTTGGACAATCATGAAGATGTAGAGATCGGAGAGAAGTGAGACACTCGAATGCCGCGTCCGGCAGAGTAACTAGATCATAGATGCACCATATTTTCAAAACCTCCAAGTTGGAAAGCATTGCAACTGTTGGGGGGAAAGTTGCCTTCATCATCATCAGTAACTGCTGTAGTGCTACCTTCTCTCTGACTCTATCAAATGTTAGTGCCACAACAGTTGGTTGCAGAGGCATTAATGTTAGCTTTGGGCACAACATAATCTCTAATTCAACAAGACAAGGAAATGATGGTAGCAGCAGTGGCTGTTCTTGTGCTTTACTCCTCCACCATCCCTTCAAATCAGGCAATTCCCAGAGACTGAGACGTTTCAGTGATGGAAAGAATGTTGTTGTTGCTGTTGGTTCTCGTCCTCCTCCCGAAGAGGACTCATCTTCTATGTACTCTACTGAATCCAAACCACGAAGATGAAGAGTTCGGAGAGAAGGTAGATGCTCTAGTTTTGGAAGATATTTGCATTTCAAACAACCATGTAAACCAATTTCAACAAGATTTGGGAGGGACGACATCCATATTGGTAATCTCACACCCCCATAGCCATTTATTTCGAGCTTCTTCAGATTTGCGTGTGGTTGGAGAGCTTCCAACACCAACTCTAACTTACAATCATCAATGTACCAGTCAAAATTTAATTCCAAATACTGCAGGTATTCTTTCCCCTTCAAGTTCGCTTCCCCTGCTTCTTTCGGTGTTGCGGTTTTAAACGGTTGTGGCGCCACTGCTCCTATTGCTAGCTCTCCTCTTAGCTTGTTTAAATCTTTCAATTCACTTAAACTGTTGCATGGACCCATAATGAACTGCTTTAACGTTCGAAGACAAGTCAGCTGCCCCAATCCACGCGGCATATCAGTCAAAGCCTCGCATTTATCAATTTCGAGATGCCTGAGGCTCACCAACTTTCTTATATCTCTTGGCAATTCTTTGAGATTACCGCACCCAGTAAGTTTTAGGGTTTGCAATTTTTGCAACTTGGTAATGGAATTTGGCAGCGTCTTGATCTTTCAAATGCCTTAGCTTACTTACGCAACTCGGCACTGTTTCCATCTCCACGCCATGCATGTCCAACACGCGTAACCTTTTGAAAGTAGACATAATTTTTTCACAGATTTCGGCACAAAATATGACATTGTTTGAAGGGGCAAAAGGAATGTTCTTATCTTGACAGATCTAAGCAACGGGGTAAGAATTTCCCATGACTCCACTATATGGCAATCCAATGACACGTGATGGGTTCTTTGAGAAACATCTTTTGGGTCCAAATTCCATATGGAACTTTCAGTTCCTGCAACTGATTGTGCAAGGTCATGCATAAGATCATGCATTTTACAACTTATTACATTACCAGATTGGTCTATTTTTTCATCTTGAAAAAAAGACCTCCTTAGTAAATTCATAAAATGCGAATCTCCAACATCTTCCATATCTTGATTTTCATTTGAGGATTGAATAAATCCATGGGCAACCCACAATTGGATCAATCGTTGCTTATCAATTACATGATCTTTAGGATATAAGCGACAAAGTGCAAAACATTGCTTTAGATCCCAAGGAAGGTGATCATAGCTCAACTTCAACATTGGTGTAATAACATTCTCCTCTTGAGCTATTTTTGACATATTTTTATCTTTAAAAATTGATCACTCAGTCTCTGTATTTTTAGAGTATAATAGGCTTCCTAAAACTCTTATGGCTAGAGGAACTCCAGCACACTTCTCCAAAATTTCCTTTCCTATTTTCACTAGACATGGATTTTTGGCTCTTTCCCTTCTTTGAAGGCCATTTGCTTAAATAGAGACCAAGACTCTTGGTCAGACAAGCCTTTCAAAGTATACAACCAGTTTGTCCCCGTTATAGTAGCCACAAATTCAGTGCGATTGGTTATCAAAATCTTACTTCCCTGTGCACCACTCATCAAGAGATCTCTAAGGCCTATCCATTGTTCACGATCCTCATTCCACACATCATCTAACACAAGTAAATACTTTTTCCCCCCAATTTCTCTCCTAAGCTCATTTTGCACTCCTTCCATCCGAAGACTTTCAGGTTTCCTACCTGTTGCACTTTCTACAATATTTTCAGCAATTTGTTTTAAATCAAAGACATCGGAAACACACACCCACATTTTACGTTCAAAATGACTAGTGACTTTCTCATCATTGTACACTAGCTTTGCAAGTTCGGTCTTTCCTAGGCCCCCAATTCCAACTATTGCAACAATTGACACCTTCTCTTGGACATTGCAATCCGTCAATAATTTTACAATTTCCTTTTTATCATCGTCCCTCCCAATAACTTTGTCCTCACACACAAAAGAATGTCTCCCTCTTGATCCTCATCTGATCAGCCAGCATCTCTAGAGGCTGTTCAGTGAAGTGGAACTTGTTCCTATCTGCTGCTATATCATCCAGTCTCTCGCGAATGGCCTTAACCTGATGACCCATCTTAAGACTAAAAAGAAGCTGGTTGAAGAAAATACGTACCTTCTTGGCCCTTTTATTCTGAGTCATCACCTTCTGCCGCAAAGCTTCTGTGAAGAAGTCATCCAGCAAGTCATCAGCATCATACATAACATCGTTGAGCTTCTCAAGCCAGTCCTCGACCTCATGGTTTGTGGCTTGCTTCTCAAATGCGTCAAGAAGCACAGCTTTGATAGTGGAAACTGTGTTCCCCACCTTGCCAGCCTCATTTTTGACACCACGCGCCAATTCAATCTCTTGTAGAGCTACAAAGCCCAGCTTCTTCACAATTTCAGTCAGTGTTGGAAAGAAATGCGCCGGCCATTTTTTTTCATTTTTTTTTAAAGTGGTTACTGGAATGATATATATATATATATATATATATATATATATATATATGTGTGATAGAAAAACAAGGTTGGAATGAATATGTATTAGGTTGTAGTGAGTGGAAGGTTGGCATGAATGACCAATATTTATAGATAACATCAAAGAATAGTAGCTACAACCCTACGACTTTTTAAATGTTAGTTTAATAGACCCGCCAGGTGCTGGACTACAATGCATACTCCGCAGTCAATTCAATACAATTTTACAACACAATTGAATAGTACAAAAATTAAAGGCTTTAACTACTTGGTGAGGATTTTCCACTTAGTGAAAACCAAAGGACGGACGCTTCAATGAGGTGTCATGATCATGTTTGAAACCGACACTCACGTACACTCTTAGGCAGTAAGTATTCAATTGTTGATGGTCGTGTTCATTATTTATATTAGTTGGAAACTTGGAATACTTGGTTGAGACATCTCAAACACTTAATTCTTCAGACATTCGACCAACACATCTTACATTTTTCGTATTATATAAAACAATCACGCCACAATCCTGAAAATAATATTATGATCGTACATCGAAGTGTTCAATCTCTAAACAACAAAAACATAACTTTAATGATAAGATATAGTAGTGTTATCATATATAATTTAACATAGTCTTTTTTGATATTTGAGTTATGTCATCTTTTAAATTATGTAACTTTAATATAAAATTTGTAAATTAATTGAAGTTATATAATCTCATTCACTAAATATATAAAGGAAAATTAATATTTATATCAGCCATCGTCATGTTTTATTCACATCTTAAAATTTTGAAATTTAATGTATGATAAAAACTTAATTTATAGTACTGGTTAAAAACTTACTCTACCTTGAAATCTACAACTGCGAGTGTTGGTCATTATTTATTTATTGAACGGCAAAAGGTGCTCATTACAAGCAAAAAAACGATATGGCGTCAACTTTGAAAATTTTTATTCAAAGAATAATAAGCCAATCAATGAAATTTTTTTATTCAAAGAACAAATTTCAGAAAAATGCTTAGCAAAGGATGCACAAAACGACATCGGTATCAGAAAAGACACAGCCAGAAATTCCTTTCAAGACCGAGGACAGTGAGCCCCAATGCAGTAATATACTAAGTATATGCCAATTATTTTTATTCGGCAAGTCCAATGGCTCTAACTTGTTTGTTGTAAAAAAAAAAAAATGAATTAATAGTACAAAACACCATTGTGGTATAAATATAGTGCATATAACACCCTTCCTCTACTAATGATTTGGATCAAATAGGTCCATTCAGTCCAATTCCATCCATAGCGAATAAATGACTAAATATTATCCAACAAACCAAAATACTCAATTAGATTCAATTGATGATGAAATAGGAATAAGCATAGAGCAAAAGAGATAAGCGACAGAAAAGAAAACACAGAAGAAGAGAAAAAAGTGAGAGAGGACGAAAGCAGAGCTTCGATCTTGATCTCTCAATACCCCTTTTCAATACCAGCAATTGACTATACATACACATATATAGAGCTATACAGAGGGAGAAACAGGAGAAAGAGTTTTAGAGAGAGAGTGAATGAATCACTTGACAGTCCATCCATGCCTAATAATTATACCTCCTCATCGTCATCGTCATCATCTCACCATACTTAATTTGTTCATGAAATAGTCAACTAGGATTTAGACACATATATTTATAACACGTGTGTGGCCTATATTGTCACAATACATTTATATTCTAATCCACTGCGCCTAACACAACGTTATACGTTGTGGGAAGTTACAGCAGCGTGGTTGTGGGAAGTTGATGGTGGTTATCATCTGACTAGTTTAAAATAAGGGTTAGCATGATGAATTGCTCTCTCTTGTTTTTTCATTCATACAGAATCCTCACAAAAGCATTAACCAAACTGATTTCATGGCTGGAGGTAATGCGCTCTCTTTGGACTTGATAGTTTGTTTCACTGGGTACCCACCACCCATCTAACCTTGCTGACGTCATCTACTTCCACGTTCTCCTTGAGTACCTCTCCTGGTCCGACCTTCGCAAGATTTCAACTGTCGAAGAACTCGTCGTCACCGTCACTACCACTCGAGTATGGATCTTCAAAATTATACATATACGGTATATAGCACCTCTCTATGTATATATATATGGAGTAATAAATGGGATAAGAGAGTGCTTTGGGAATAAGATAAGGGCTATTTAGGCATTTCATTGCACAAAATTATCTAATGTGTAGTACTTATTTGCACATTATATCTATACTATAGAAGTTTTGTGCAATTAATCCATTATATTCCTTATCCTTAGCTAAACCTATAAATTTTTTAAAATTACCTTATTTTGTGATAATTAAGCCACCCTTCATATGGATTAAAATTCTCTTTCAAAACAGGGTCTTGTTCATTCAGTTAGTGATGCACTTTACGAAAATGCATCACTAACTGAAGGAGACGGGTCTATAGTACGTTGTTTTGCCGGAAAAGATTTTGATCCCTCCTCATATTGCGGACAAATATTTACATTACAGAGGTGGGTAGTGAGCCTTTCATGGCTGTACATTATAAAGTGCGTCTCTTATAGTTCTTTCACTTCTTGATTTTTATATAATTTCCAAAAAAAGGTTTGGAAAGCTAAAGGTTTAGAACATATGGAACGGCCAGATTCCCACAGCATGAAACAGAACTAAGATTGTTTGAAATGGTAAGATATGAATTTTGTAATTTTTTATTGAATTCTAATTTTCTATTTACCTCGAATCTTGTGTCAAAAACGGAACTACATGTGCAAGTAAATGAGAACATCATTTACACTTGATGTTTAAGTCGAATTTGGTTACATTTAAAGTTTTTGAATTCAATAGTGTAAAGCACTGGATGCTGGGAAAGGCTTGAAAACAGCCACCTTGATAATGGACCCAAAACGGCTTCAGCTGTTCAACCAAGAATTCATAGAGTGGAAAGCAATAGTTCAATATTAATTAACGACTTAAATATTACTTTCCAACGAGAGAGAGAGAGAGAGAACAAGCAAAAAATTCCGAACATATACGGAGTTAGAAGTTCAGAATAGTTTACAATTTGTTGCCACAAGTAAATTGTTATATTAGATATATATATATATATATATAGTTGGGCAACCAAGCAAAAAACATAGATACCTTCCACCAAGCTTTTTGTGATTATATGTTCATTTGTACAACTCAGTGCACCATAGATGTATTCACGACCATGTGAGAATATTCAGATGTAACTCGAAATCAATCCCTACATGGGAGCTATATATCACATAAAAATAAATAAAAATATTCTAGGGAACTCGTGATGCCCGGCTAGAAAAGAGCCTTGCACGCATTGAATAACAAAAACTCAGCTGATTAACAAAAAATTTTATTATTATTATTTTTTATTGCGGTAAGTAGTTTAAAAAACCAACTTACACAGTTCATCACATACCCATTGTGAATGAATAAATATATCAATATATTTATCCTTTAATTAATACCATACACTCAATTCATTTTTATCCATAGAGTTTAAAACATTCATCGGCAAACAAGAAGTAAATTTGACCAAAACCTCAAAATAGAACAACCTACTCAGGAAAAAAAAAAAAATGTAAATAATGTAGAAAACTGTGAAATTCGAAAATTATATTACAAGACTCTCATTGCATGGTAATACAATGCTTATTTCCAGTCAATTCAATACAATAATTGAAGACTTCCAATCATTTGGTGAGGATTCAATCATTAGACTTACTTTATGAACTCTACTCCTCCGAGTGAGAGGTGGCTTGAGCTGATACGCTCTGTGGTCCCAAACTATTCGCGGGATTCAACTTGGGAAATATATGACTTTTCAACAGTACTGATATTTTAATAATAAAAATAAATTAAATATTACGTACATAACAATGTCGTCTTTTTCAACTTTTTAAAAGCTTGTTTGGAACACCATTTTGACAGTTTAAAAAATGACCAATTTAATATGAAAAACCTTAAAAAGGGTGTCATTATATTTTTTTAATATATATATATATATATATATATATATATATATATATTTCCATTCAAGTCATAAGCGAATAGGATACAAGGTGAAAAACACCCTAATGTAAGATTGAACACATATTTGTTGCTATATAATGAATTATATATATATATACACTTGTAAAAAATTTAGGAGTAAAGGGCAGTGAAGAAAGATATGTATGGGCATGCCCCAGAAGAATGTTGAAATATATGGATAGAGCAGCCCACTTCAGTGCTTCTTAATGTTTTAAGGGGTTACAATTGAAAACTAAGATTCCG